TAATTTTCAAAATTCAACATTGTTTTGTAATTWAAAAAAATCTAAATAAAAAAATACAGAGGTTCTCATTCCCTGATCAGCAAGATCAGACTATAGGACCTCTCTCAGGATGATTCGATTATGCACCATCTAAATATGCTTGGATAAACTTCTTGTCTAGTGCCAGCATTGCTAGGCAAACCTGGGTTTCTCATCTGTTTTGTATGTGTTTACAAGTGCTGGATTCTGTGTTTTTGGAGACAGCCTGGACTCTTTTTCACACTCACCGGGGGAATTCTTCCACTTTCTCTGCCAAGCTTTTGAGTGCTTGGTCCCAGGACACAGTATCTCTTACTATTTTAATAGCTAATAGTTCTTGGTTTCTACTGGTGCTAACTCTTTGCTGTTAAAATCCAGAGATTCCCTATAATCCCCACCTCAACATGCAGCTACACACCTTACACACCTGCTTATTTATTTATTTAGATTCTGTCTGGTGAAGAAGCAGGAGAATGCTGGGTGCCTCTTATCCACCATCATGAATCCTTAAAACCAGGACTCTCTCCTTTCTCCTTTTTTAAACTTTATTCTTTATTTATTGAATGTATATTTATTTTTCCTTAATCAACTTTTCAAATATTGATTGCTGCTTAATATATTCAGACTATTGATGTTTCTTTTCTTGTACTTTTACCACACAAATTTATTTAAAAACATTAAATCAAAATATATTGATCCTTCTTTTCAATATTAAAAGGGTATACAACATTCACTTATCTGACTTTTCCTAATTTATGTACATTTTTTACCTACAATATCTCTATCCTACCTTTTAAAATATATATGCAAATGGAACACAATAAAATTTTGATACTAACAATGTTCATTTTCATTTTGAAAGTATTTGTCATTTAATTTGTGTAATTCTTCATTTACTCTTTAAATAGTTCTTCTGAGATATTTTTCCCTCTCTTAACATCATTATTTAGAATGATCTTTATTTGAAATAGTTTTTTGAAGGTAGTTTTCATACATAAATGCTATCAGTTGTTGAAATGCCTCAGAGATATTATACTGACTTTCATTGTATTTGAAAGAAAAATCTACTGTCATTCTAACTGATATTTCTTTATAATTAACTTCTTGGACTAATGAATTTATTTTTTTAACAACTTTGAAAAATTCTTCAATTATTATGTCTTTAGATGTTTTCTCTTTTGTATTTTCTCAATTCTTTCTTTATAGGTGTTTATGTAGATCTATATTTAAAACATTTCTTCTAGTTTTTTTATGACAATCTCACTTTGTTTTCTCTCCTCTCTGTAAGAATCTATAAGTACATAATTTTCCACATATGCATCTCTCAGATCCTTAATTCTCTATATTTTAATCTACACTTTTTCTATTCATGGATTTTTTTATTGTGATGCTTTTCATTGCTAAATCTCTATTTTTATTTTAATTTCATCAATTTTATATTGTGCTTTTATTTTAAAATTCAGCTCATTCACTATTATACAGAGGGAGGTATAATGGAAAAAGTTTTTAATGGGTTTAACAGCTTCATAGAGAATTTTTTGTAATGAGTTTTATATTCATGATAAAAGGTACTCATTTCATCTGTGAGTTTTCAAAGGAGTTACTATGGTGAAAAGACAGAGTAGTTTGAGATGAAACTTTAAAAACAGGTATGTGTTTCTAAGCAGAAGCAACTAAAGGGATTATTGAAATGCAAAGGTTTTCATAGATATCAGAGCAAAATCAGCAACAAACTAGTAAGTATGGTGGGAAACAGTTGAAGCATTTAATATGGTACATTATGGTAAGACATGAAACAACAGCCATAACTGAGAGGACCATAACCCAAAGGGCTTTTGATGTTCTGAGGAGCGTTGTGTGCTCTTCTGAGGAGTCTGGGTGCACTGGTGCATTTCATATAGATCACATTGTATTTCAATTTCTTTTATCTGGAAACAAAATCTATTGAATGAACAAGTAAATACATATAATTGGCTAGAGAACTTTCAAATGTATTTCTATTGATCTCATATATTTACAATGTATCTATTTTACATATTAGGCCACTGTTATTTGATACACATTTTTAGTTCTGGTTTTAAAGTTGCTTTAGAGTCCCCTTTAAATACCCTGAGCATTTTCTTTTACATGAGAGGAAATGTTAAGCAAGCATGGGTTGCAAAAATCCTACCAAAGAAAAATCTAAGACTGTCATTATGATAAAATTATAGCTATAGCAAAACTGAAACCCAAAACGTAAAAGATCACAAGGAAAAAAAATTCTAGTTCTTTGTAAACCCAATCTTTAAACCTCTAGTCTTCCTGAAAACATAGCTATTACCAAGAGGGAATTTCAACTAAGAAATCAACATTCCTCTGGGTTATTTAGTGGTCTATTATTCATCTGTCTTCTTTATTCTTATTAGAGCATGGTAATTCCTCACAAACCCCAAAGCTGAGTATATTATAGTTCTCCTTCACCATGAAGGCTCTTCCTTGCTCTAATTTTCAAATGGAGATGTTGAGAACAAAGACAAACTTTTCTCATTTTTCCATTTCCCCTTCAAATCAGAGACTGCAGATAAATCTTTAATGAATCAGTCTTCTTAAAAAAAAAGAGCTTCTGTATTTCATAGATTTAATTCATTCATGGCAGAGTTTATTCAGAAAGAGACAAAACCAAAATCTTTGTCAGTGGCATCGTTGAGAGAACCTCCTGTTTTAAATTCTCCATGTTGTTGATATTTTTCCCTAGTAACTYCTTGAAAATTTATTCAAAGTAAATTCTCAGTAACCTGCTCTGATATAGTACATATCAGGCAACTCTGAAGGGGGAAAGAACATAGGGTAACAAGAAGTGCCATCAAGACATTCTCAAGCAACTTTGGTGGCAGAGGTGACTCATGCCATTTTTTATGAACCTACTTTTCCCCCTTTCTTTTTGGTTTTGTTCTTGCTATATTGGGGATTGAAACCAGAGATGCTTGACTACTGAGCTATAACCCCAGCCTTTATTGCTTGACTATTGAGCTATAACCCCACTATTATTATTATTATTATTATTATTATTATTATTATTATATTGAGAGAAATTCTCACTAACTTATCCAGGCCAGCCTCTAAATTTAGATTCTCTTACCTCAACCTCCTGAGTTTCTGGGATTATAAGTCTATGCCACTATACCAGCTAAAACTAACATTATTATTACTTTCTTAGAAATAAAGAGATCAAGGTTAAGAGATCAATAAATACATTTGAATATGTAAAATTAATATTTATTCTCATTTTGTACTTTGGGAACTACCGTGGTTATCTAGAAAAAAAGGGATTTTCTGCTTTTTAACTGTTAGATTTCACTTGTTTGGTAGTAGTATATATTAAATATTTTGAAAAATGTGTGACACAAAACACCAGTATAAGCATCCCCTATGGATTCTCTTAAAAATGTGAAATCTTATATTGTATAATTTACAGAGCTTGTATATCTGGGGCACTGTGTCTGGTAATTGATATTTAGAAAATACCATGACATGCTGGTTAAGCACTAACAGTTTTGAAAAAATACCAGTCTAACTGGGGTGGAGATAAGGAGATGAGGAAAACACAGACAAGTTGGTCTCTGTATTTTCTTCTTCCATAACTCCCTAGCKCTGGGAAAGGGAGAGAAGAAGCAAGCAGGTATTTTGTATTTTCTAGAAGTACCCTAAGAAGAAGAATCCTTTCCAGCACTATCTTAAGAAGAAGAATCCAAGAATGCAAAAAGGAGCTATCCCCAAACAGGATCTAAATAGTGTATCCCAGATGCTTCTACAAGGGAATACTATCTTGACTTAATTTGATCCACATCAATCAAACTTTGCTCCAAAGGGAATTTATGTTTTAAGTTAATTACGTTTTAGACTTAATAATAATATAGAATTTTGGGAGGAAGGAAATGAAACAGTTTCAAAGATGTAGACAGACTGCAAAGCAATACAGAGACAAAGCTCATGAAAGGTCATCACATGTTTGATAAGTGGAATTTATGCTTGAGAATAGGTTTCCATGGATTATTGATGAATTTCATAGATAAGGGAAGGAAATTTTATTTTTAATTTATTCTATAATACTTTTTTGTGGAAACAAAACAAAATTTAAGTTCATACCAAGAAATGGCTTGAGCAATATAACAGCCCAAGGAACTTAACATTAGGTAGAAAAGACATGAGGATCAAAAATACACCATTTTCCTAATGTAATATACATTGCACATCTGACTTGTCAACTCAGTCTTAATTGATGATGGTCGTTTGGTCATAGAACATTTTATTGTGAGATAGAATTCACTAAAAATGTTCCACTAAAAACATTAAACTTTAAAGTTTTCCTTTGTTGGACACACATCTGACTCTACAGGCATTAGTTTGGGATGAATAATTTGACTGCATGATGTTTGGCCACAAGTAGGCTTTATTAGCTAGATACATAGTATTTTAATACATTGTATGCTCTATTGTTTTCCATTGTGTAGAAACATGGATTTCCACAATATGCTAAATGAAAGTTATTATTACTGGAGTTTGAGCTTAGAACTTACATTCCAAATACACTGGCATCAGCATACAATGATTTTTAAAATTTCAGTTTCAGAAAATTTTATATTCATTCTAATTCTGGGAACTACTCACCATTGAACTACCCACCATTTTCTTTTAAAGACCAAGAAATTATTAATCATTGAGATTTTATTATTAACACATCATTACATAAGAATTGGCAAAAATAACATGCATGGGAATAATGGTAAATAGCCAAGCATGTTGTGCTATGTAAATACTCATTATCAGATGTGTTTAGTAACTCCTTGTAAGTGGATGTTATTTGAAGACTATTTATTTGGTGGGAAATCCTATGTGCACACCAGTAAGACGTTGTAAGGTAGAGATGCCTTTTGAATTTTAATGTATTATTTTATACATTTCATACATGAGAGACATGAGTTTCACAAGAAGCCAAACAATGATGCCATTTGGTATGTTTTATTTTGCTATTAGCTTGTTAAACACAACATGCAAATAATAAAAAAGAAACATACATGACTTAGAATGAAAAACAATCCTTTAAAAGAAAAGCTTCATTGGGTAAATATGAAAATTCTTAACACTGGAAATAATTCTTTTGGTGCAGGTGGCTTCATAAATTCTGTTTACTATTTTGCAAAAATATTGGTCTCAACATATACCACTTATTTTTCAACAGAACAAATTTGAACATAGCAAGATGGTTTGAGCTAAGACAATACACRTCCTTATATACTGAGACCACCATGCTTTTAGGTCCATTAAATTAAGATTTAGGGGCTATAAAACTTGGCTAAATTCCATGCAAACAGTAAAATGTTTTGTATATTATTTGACAGTAGAGGTATAGAAAATAATAAATTTACAAATAAAGCATTGTGTTTGATGTCTATTTGTGTGTGTGTGTGTGTGTGTGTGTGTGTGTGTATGTGTCTCCTCATGATGAAATAGGCCTGCTTTTCATCTTTTTTTTTAAAGTGGTAAATGTTTACAAAACATTTTCCCTTTGAACTTAAAACTCATGAAAGTAATGAACAACAACAAAAAATGGATACTCTGAAAACTTTACACACAAAGGAAAAAAAAAAAAAAAACCCTAACCATAAAGTACTGCCCCAGGATACACCTCATGTAACTGGAATTAGAAGGTATTAATTGACAGTGATTTCATTTGCTACACGTAGACATTCATACATATCAGGTGGCAGATTGGTGTGGGTGAGACGATTGCCATCCAAACGCAGATGCTTGATCTTGGAGTAGGACAATGGCCCCAGAATCTTACAGAAGCTTTTTACGTCAAACTCTGCAAATTAAAGCATAAAAATTTTCAATGTTTCCTTTTAGTGTATTGTCTTRAAACAATCATTTAACAATTCCTCAAGTGTATATTATCAAACAGGTGTTCTTCTCACTTATATTACGTACCTTTGAATTAGGTACCATTAAAAGTATATTTCAGGCTACTATAATGACACTACAATATTTAGTAAATTATAAATAAAGAAGCTCAGGATACTCAATACAACTTTGCAAAGAACAGGATTCATTGATTCTGATGAATAAGGTCTAGAAAGGCATTTACAAATGTGTCTTATAATCAAAGAAATCTTGAAATATTTAGTCTGACATGAAGAAATGTAAATTGTTGTGGYTGTATAAACAGCCTCACCAATACATGCATCATGGGTTTTATGCATCTGAAAATAACAGATTTAACTAAAAAAGTTCTCTAAAAAATGTTCTAGCAACCACACACCACAACAATGAATCAAAACTGCAAGGCAAAAACCAAACCATGGAATGTCCACCACCTGAGCCAACGTTCTTGTGTGGTTGAAAACTGCTGCAAATGAAAAATTGATTTAGTTTGTAATAGAAACCAAGGCTATTGTTGGGTTGCATGATTATGTGTGCACATAGAAACTATCTGTGTGCCCCTCTCTATTTAAGCTTAACCTTATCTAGTCTTCTATCTTGTCATTTTCTTTCACTCGAAAATGCTAGTTTAAACAATGGYTTCAGTGGAAACCCAAACCCACCATAGTCTTTTCCCCCAAGATGGTCTCTAAATAACTTCAGTGATTCCAGGATCTTTCTATGATACCTACCTCTGAGAAACTATGAAGCAAAAGAAAAAAGATGGGCACAGGCTATGATGGGTTTCTGCCACTTATTAGCTGGGTGACCTGGAATACTTAGCTGATCTTCTTGTTTGATATAGCATATGTATCTCATTGTGTTGCATGAAGATGTAAATRTGGTAGGTAAAGCACTTCATATAGTTCTTGTATACAGGGAAAACTCAATTTTTTTTTCTTTTCCAATTTACTTCATATTAAGAAGGTTTATGATTAGGCTAATGCTTAGAGTTGCAAGATTAAAATATAAAAAAAAAATATTTTGGGCTAAAGAGCTGGCCTTCTGTATCTATTGGTTCCACATATTCAGATTTAAACAACCACTGATCAAAAAATATTAGGAAAAAAATTGCCCTCAAACATTCAGACTTTTAAGTTGTCATTATTTCCTAAAAATATAGCATAAAATACTTGATAGAAATTATATTATTTTAGGTATTATAAGTAATCTAGAGGTTAAAGTATATTGGAGTGTATGCRTAGATTAGAAGCAACCTCTCTGTTGTTTTACATAGGAGACTTGAGCATATGTGGATTTTGGTATCCACTGAAATTTCTAGAACGGATCACCATAGATGTTGGGAGACGCCTGAATATTTGCTTATATTAGACATTACATATAACAGTGGACACTAAACCTTAGAGAACCTATTTATACTATCAGTATGTGGACAACTAATATGCATGATTACTACCTGGCTAAATAACCTAAGTTGAAGAGAAGGAGGCTAGGACAAACTTCAAGAATAAAGAAGGAAGTAAAGTAATGCTCATGTAACCTTTTCAAATGACCACCATGTGCTGGCACTTTGGTTTCAACCTCAGTGTGGCACTGAGTAACCGTTGTCTTTTCTCCTGTAGGTTATCTTTCTTATCTCTCTTACTGGCCCTTCCAACCTTCATTCATACAATGGATAACCAGCAAATGTGCCTGCATTTTCATCCTTCTGTCTCATGTCAGAGAAAGAAGTAGCCTTGTTCTGGTGGGCTAATCTCCACCCACTAAATCTAACGGATCTCTTCATTCATTCAAATTTCTTGATCATTTTGATCTGTGAAAATATCCCTCCTCCTAACCCCAAATGTTTAAAACGTGGAATCCTGTATTGCTACATAATGAATTCCACACTTGAAACAACTATAGAAGCTAAACTATGTTAGCTCCATTGTGTAACATGTGGTGGTCAAACAGTATCAATCCTTATTTTCCAGATACAATAAGGAAAATGGTGTTTGAGTTGGTACCAATGATCTCCTTCATGAAAGCACCCCAACCCTACTAGAAGCTATAGAAAACTGTTTAAGAATTACCATGTAGTCATARGATATACTGTAATTTTCTGATAGCAATATCTTTATCCAATATGACAAGGAGCCAATTYTCATTAAATAAAAGTGCTTAACTTTAATACAGTATTTGCAAAGACCACTGCTGTATATGCAAATTAGTGTTCTCTACCTGATTTTTCATTTATAAAACCTGACTGGTGAATTGTGATTTTGTTGTCTGAAAATATCTTGTTAATGAGTACGGCAAGAATGATGGATTTTTATTTCCCACCAAAATCTATATTACTTCAATTGAAAATGCCYCAGAAGACACAAGAGGATTGGGTCAATCTCCATCCAGAAGATAAATGAAAAATAAAATATGGCAGCAAGAGAAGAAAAGAAATCCAAAGAAGGGAAGAATTTTGTAAAAGAAAAGTTTCTCTTACTGTACTATTTTCAAAGATAAGGAAATTCTAAACTTTATATGCTTTATATAATTTTTCTTCCATAATCTCCCTCAGAGTCCATTGGAACACCTTGAAGTCCACACACACCATAACAGAGATAAGAGAAGTAGATGATGGTCAAGGTTAACAGAGTAACATGCTGAGTCYCAAGTAAAGGTGCCAAGGAAGACCATGAAAGCACATGACCTGTGGTGCAGGTCATGTGAGAGAGGGTTAAAAGACTCCGCTAACTGTATCTCTTCTGAACTTATATGTTCCTCCCTGAGCTGGATCTTGCCAGAAAATAAGTATAGGAAACAGATTTAAGTCATAAAGGAATTAAATRACAACAGATAAATATTGAGAGATAATATAGCAAGATAATTAACATAGAATATTAAATTTGATAAAATTTCATGTTAAATTCTTTTGTCTTAACTATTCTTCATATGCACATTCCAAAGCAAGTCTAGAAAGAATTGGATACTCAACTGAGCTAGAGATCTTATATTTTTTTAATTAGAGGGATCTTTTGTTGATATTTTAATTCATTTCTATTAAGTATAGTCAGAAGCAATTTTTTTTGCCCAGCTTAGGCTTTGAAAAACTTCAGATTATACAAAAATCAAACATTGGCACAACTTTCTACTTACTTTCAAGTTCATTGACCTCCAGGTAATAGTTTTCAAGATTTTCATTAACTGTGGGTATGCTCTTAAGTTTATTATAAGAGAGATCCAGCTCCAMCAGAGATGATATATTAAAAGAATTTCCAGGTACCCCACTATCAGCCAGCTCATTGTGAGATAAACGTAGATACTGCAGCCCATTAAAACGCTTGAAATACTCATCGGGGATGTTGTTGATCTTGTTGTTGTCTAGGTAGAGGGTTAGAAGAGATCCTGGGAGACCAGAAGGCAGTTTGGTCATCTGATTGAAGCTCAAGTCGAGGTACTCAAGTGACTTGAGACCTTTTAAGGCTGCTGAGATGGCATCCTCTTTGAGCTGATTGTGTTGGAGGTGGATGAAGGTCAAGTTTACCAGTCCCTCAAAGGAGCCAAGTTTAGAGATCTTGTTATGAGTAAGCTGCAGATCCTCGAGTGATTTGGGGAGTGGGCCCACAGACTCTGTCAGATTGTTGTAGTTGATATGCAGCTTCTTCAGCTGTTTCAGTTTAGAGAACACTTTTCCTTTTATCTTGGAGTTTTCCAGAAGGTTGTGATCTAGAATGAGCCACTGCAGATCAGTTACGTTTTCAAAGGCCTTTTCATCGATATGGTCAATCTGGTTATTCCTAAGGTAAAGATACTTGATTCCAGGGGGCACCATGGGCACACTTTTCAGTTTCAGCTCATCGCAGTACATGGCGGTTGGGTAGCTTTCAGGGCAGTTACACTCTGGTGCACAATTTGGTGATGATTGCCCATAAATGGATAGAGGGAAATCATAATCATAGTACTGGCCACTGGCACCACTAATTAATGCCAAGACGAGAGTAAATGCACCTAGGTTCATTTTCAGCAAATGCCTTGAATCCTAAATAAGAGTGGAAACATAAATCGTTATAATAATGCTATGCTTTCAAGAAAAGMAAATTCAATTTGCAATGTGCATTTTGTTGTATTAGTTGTCCAGTGCATCTAAAAATAGCGTCTTTACATTTTTTAATTTAAGTATATGATTAGAGGTGTACAGTTCCAACTTTGGGGCAAAGAACAGGTTTCAGATTAGATGGCATACACAGGCGCCCCCTTCTGGGCAACCCACACATAACTTTTCTAGTTTTTCTCTTTTGGTCCTCCCTTAATTAAATGACTTTCTTCAAGAGGTTGCTGGGTGATGCTCATTGACCACAATGTCAGAACACTGCTTCAGAACATTTCTCAAAACAAGAAGAAATGAAAATTAGAAGACAATTGTAAACTTCATACTGTACCCTATCATTCAACGTCATTAAAATGTCTCATTAAGAAGATCTTTACTGGGAACATGGACAATCTGTGGTTTTCCCTGGAGACAGCAATTCTTATTACATTTGAGACAGCAATTCTTATTACATTTGAGGTGGAAGGGGAAGGGGGTACATTCCTTTAAAAGTGTCTGGTTATTGTTGGTTCTGAAAGAGGGAAATAGAATTCTTGGTCTGGGTGTTTATTTACATTATTTCAAGTTTTGTTTAACATTCCATATTTTCAAACACATTTCAAAACTATTCTAAAACTAATATTTATAAAACAAATGTTTATTAGAGAAATGTTAAATATTCTAAGAATTCTTAAATCTAAAAAAACTTCCAACTGGTAGAAAAAAAAATTTTCCAACTTTTGAAATATAGTTCTTTTTCCCAATAACTCATAAGTTGTCTATCTTTATTCATGACAAAATTTAAGGTGGCATGATTTGATTATCTGRATTGTAGTAGCCTCACAGAGTAGAAATGAGAAAGAGGTGAGGATGAAGGAAAGTTTGTTTTTTTAATGCTGGCATCAGGGACCATGCAGGAAAGGATTAAATTAAAAATAAAAAAAAATTAAAATAATTTACAACTGTTATCTTCTCATATGAACATATTTCTAGGATGAGGCTCAGTAACAAGGAGGTCAACTGTGCAGAAAAGTGCAGGTTTAGCACTTTAGGAAAAGGAAAACTAGAATATAAGAGTTGGACTTCTATAGACTAAGGAAAACTGGTAGCTCTGGAGAGAAATCACTAATGTGAATAGAATCCACATTTCAATAGTACGGAATATCATATTTTCCCATGAGAYGTATGAGACAAGATTTTGGATTAAGGTAGTTTGGAACAAGCAGGATTTGGAGGATGAAGAACTCTAAACATGTTTTCTTTAACTTGGAATCATAAGGAACTTATGTTAGCTGATAAAACATTTTTTAAAAAAGCTATTAGAAGCACTTAGGTCACTAATATCAGACGTAATCAGATTCTTGGTAAATTATTCCCTAAGATTATGATGGAGTCACTTAATTCAGTGGACAGGACTTGGCCATGATGATCACATAAGTAAAAAGAACATGCTGGCATGTTCCTGGGCTTCTTTGTAAGTTGCAGTAAGTTAATGCTACAAAGATAAGTCTAGTTTCATTAATAAGTTTCTACCTCATTTTTTGAGTATCCACCAGCACAGTCATGGTAAGTATAATGTGAGTTTGGAGTAGTAACTAAAAATGCTTCCAATTTTTTTTTGTCAGAGTAAAAACCAGGGCTCTGAATTCAAAGAGAGTTTGTAACCCATATAATGCCTCCACTATGAGAAAAATCACACTGTATTTTTTCCCACTTTTTTTCCAAAATACCTGTGGCTAGAGAGGAATTTTTTTTTTCAAAAAATAAATCATTTCCCAGAAATTCTTTAAAACATGTTCCTTAAAGCATACATTCAACATTATCCAAATCTTTAAAATTCACAAAATAGGAAAAAAAGCAATCTGTAAATCCTTTAGCTCACATTTTATAACACAAACTATTGATGGTGATTTGTAACAAATTATAACTATGTCTGTATCACAAAACATTTTGAATGATGATTGAAGTGACCTTTCTATCCTCCAATATTAGGTTCCCACAATACTAACATACAYAACTCATTAGCCTGAAGAGCAAACACTTAATTTCCATTCTTTCACAGTGTCTAGTTTAGCTCTTCTCTCATTCTAACCTTGAAACATTTTGTCATTCCCCTTGCCAATCAATACAACCTAAACATTTAGAAAACACAATAAACAAAAGGAGAAAGTAAATGGTCAGAATGGTGGGTTTGCATTTGAATAGCCATTGGCAAATCTGTTCTGAATTTTTTTTTCCTGTTTCTGTTACAATAAACACTGTCCCAAACAGTAAGCATCCCCTGGGCTATAGTTAAAACAGCACTTACCTCGATTTCTTGACACTGCTTCCTTTAATTCTTAAAGCAGATGCACTGGGACAAGAATCCACCAATATATGCTGTAAACTCTGTCGGGAAGGAACTGGCTGCCAGATTCTTAGTGATACCAGAGCTGAGGAGGGTGGGGGGGGGGACCAGCAGAGTCACTGCAGTCTCTGAATGGAGTTATGTCATTGTGGGGCTCTTGTGGTGTGGCATGTTAACACTCTGCTCTCTAACGAAGTGCAGGTGGACATGCTGAGCAACCACAGCCCAGCTCATTCCCTATGGAATGAGGGAGAGATACTTGCTTAACTAGCTCAAATACCATTGCTTTTAACCAGGACTTGAGTCCTGCTCCAGATGAGGCAACTCAGTGAGAAAGTGTCTCTTAGAATCTTTATTTCTGTGGCTGTGGCAACAATTAAGTGTGATTTGTTTGGCCAACTATTATGTTCATCTGAAGTTCTCATATATCATAAACAGAGCAAATAATTTTGAGAAAATGCAAATCAGCATCAGATAAACTAATATCTTCTTGTTCATCACTCTGGGAATCTATATTGATTTACTTGGACTAAATTAAACTTTTGTTAAGATGATAACACATTAATTTCTAATGTTTGCAAAAAATGCTTCATAACCACTCTAATACAAATGACAAATAACAACATTTTCATTTAACTTCTTATGCAAAGGGAATTCTTTTTATGTTATTCAGATCTKGAACTAATCAACAATGTCTTGCCTGTTTCTTATTTTGTGGATTTCCTTTAGGAATTCACCCAAAACCTTACTTGCAGAGAATATTCTGCTTCTTAATGCCAAAAAAGAATTTAAAGAACAGGGGRAAAAGTATAATAAAATATCAAAAGGCAAGAATCTTTCATTCTGTCACTATATGCTAGCGATGTTTTCCTGAAATCAAAAAGTTATTTAAAGATGTAATTTCCCAAGTCCTGGTTTGATAGGTCTTTCATTGTCAGTTCCTGATGCATGCTTTCAGTAAAGAAGAGGTCTTCTSAAGTTCTTATCTAGTTCATTTTTTATTATATCAATTGTATTTATAGGATTTTCCCTTCAAAATATTCACTTTCTCATGTTCATAACAGAACTTACAACAAGGTATGTTAATATTGGTTTCCACATTGTAAGTTTCTTTTTTTCATTTTAAAATAACAAGAACATTTTTTAAGCTATAAGACCTATGAAAAGTTAAACTCGGTGACCACTATTGCATTTATCCCAAAAAAGAAAAAAGAAAGAAAGAAAATCYGAATAAATGCCTTATATTTGTAAGAGAGCACTTGAAAAACAAAATAATCTTTTTAGTAACTCATGGAATTGTAACATGATTTACAAGCACAAAATTGAACTTATTTTAAGGAAATTATTGAAGATATAAGTTTTATAATAAAGGAAATAAATTTAAAAGGAATTAGGTGGGGAAAGATACTCTAATCATACAACTAAGTGGTCTTGCTATAAGAGGCTTGATAGAACAACTACAAACATTAACTTTGAATGTATTGAATTCTATAATCTTAATAAATTCCAGCTCCTTATGCTTTAGGAGTTTTCTTTATAAAACAGTAAATATTTTGTGATGTATGTAATATATTTTTAATGCATTAAACTCGATTTAGACCACTGTGAAACTGATACTTTAATTATGTRCTTTGTAAATAATTCAGTACTATGAAGCTGATAAATTGATTAATTTAGCACATTTTAAAGCATATTTCCTAGGTTTATCAGAAAGAAATAAAATTAATTTCATGGCATATTTATTATGTTCTATCCTTTTTCCTAGTTTTTTTCACATATGTCATATTTAAATTTCATACTTTAAAATTTCTTATAATACATTTTATTTTATATTTTCAGAAGTAGAAACATTCAGAGAGCCTAAGCAATTTGCTGAAAGTCACCTAACAAGTGAGTAGAGGAATTTGGAAGACCAAAACCATTGAGAAAAGGGTGACCAAAATGGAGCAGAGCCAAGGTAGTTAATTGTATAATTTAAAATATTTTATAGGTATTCTTTATGTTGAAAAATGCATAAATATTAAATTAAATGGGCAATAAATTTTAAGAAAAGCCAAATGTTAGGATGAGAGAGGAGGGGAGGAGTAAGGAGGATAGGAAGGGCAGCAGAATAGAATTGACAATATGATTTATGTATGTACATTCCATGTATGTATTATATGTCAAAATTCATTCTGCTGTCATGTATGACTAAAAATAAAGAAAGAAAGAAAGATTTWAAAAAAAAATTCAGAAGAAGAAAAAAAAAAAAGAAAAGAAAAGCCAAATGTTAGCTAAGTGGTAACTTCCCTGTGCATCCCACACACAGGCCAGGGAACAACCACATCCACACTTCCCAAATTTTGGGTGATGTGTGAATTTTCCATCCTGGCAAATAGAAATTCACTTTTTTTTTTTTTTTTTCCGAGAGCAGGTGTTAGAGGTGAATATGTTTCATGGGAACACAGAATAAAGTGATTGGGCTGTCGCCCCAGTCTGGCTACCAGATTCCTTGTTACTTCAGACCATCAAGGACACTGAGGAACATCATAACTATTTAACCCACCTCATTCTAACCCAATCCTGCACTTTCAGAGCCCTCATACCACTTCTGCTCAGGTTTTCCCTTTGCCACTGCCATTCTGCTGGAGATGGGCTTGTAAATGGAAAAGGTGGTCCTAAAACAGGAAAGTAGTAAAGAACCCAGGCTGTGTGGAACAATATACCAAGTTCTAAATGTTCTCAAGCAACTAATGAATGGTTAAAAAAATGTATAATCTTGACACTTGGAGTCTACATCTTTACAGTTTTTATGATGACATGTACATAAATGCTTCTGGTATCAAAGTACCCCTTATTTATTGGGCCTTCGCTATAGTGTTTAGCAAGACATAAGTGACCAATACTTCTATATATATTCTGTATGAAATGAACCTCAGAGATCATCCATTGGTGAGTACTATTAAACAAATTCCCCAAAGTTCTGTTGCCATTATGTGTTTTCCATATGTGAAGAGTTAATATGCTTGCAGTGCTCCATCTGAACAAACTGAGATGTTCTTTCTCTTTTTGATGGATGGATGGCATTGCTTCCCTTACAATGTGTATATAGARATGCGTGAGTGTATATACAGACATCACTTATCTGAGAGCATGGAGTATTATGAAATACCATGATAAGTCCTTGTTAGAGAAAAAAGTGCTATTTTATTATTTTCTACATTGGGGTTTTAAACTGAAACTTTTCCTTATTACAGATTTCATAAAAGCATTTGTTTTAGTGTGTTTGGTAAATACAGGGTAAAAAATATAAAAATTTTGAGTATATTTGGAAATTTCTTTTGGGGGGAAAAGAAGAAGTTAATGTTCTAGCACAGAGGTCACTGTGTGTGTGAGAGATACTTTTGAGTGTGTGTGTGAGATATATTTTTGTTTTTACATCTATTAATATACAATGCTTATGGTTTTACACCCATTTTTTATATAATAGGAAGTTGTGGATGCTTTTCTATTTCATTAAATATTCATCTTTAATGTTATTGTTGTTATGTGCTACATGAAATTATGCTACATAGGTAGTACCATAATGTAGTTGTTAGTTTTCAATATTGAACACTGTTTTATAATTTGTAAAGCATTAACAAGATCATGGAATTTTATTCTTTAAATTAGTTGTGTATGTTCTATCTAYACCACTTATTTCAGTAGATTTATTTTAAATGAAAATACCCTAAGTGGTTTATTTTCAAATTAGATAATAAAAGAATTAATTTTGATTTGTTCTTTCCTCAAATTAATATGACTGTTCTTAACTTGAGCATTTTATCAACCATGAAAGTGTCTTTCATCTGCATAGTGTTTATCCTCATATACCTATGTGGATTTAAACTCATTCTATGATTACCTCCATTTGTCTTGATATTGGACAAGGATAGCTTTAGAATTTTTATTAATAAAGTGTCTTTTGTTTTTACTAATACATTTGTGTTATAATGGTAAGGTGATATAAATACAATATACTACAACATTAAACAGCACCCCCTGATATAAGTTAAATGTGCAATGATCCCTCACCCACCTGGCTATTTAATTCCATTTTCTAGAAGGTATTTCTGTTCAGACTTCATTACTTAAGAAACTTTAGACATATGACATATACACCACAGAATTTGATTTCCTTGAATTTTCAGCATRTAAGGTAGCATGGACAACACAGCCTTCAGATACCTTCATGGAGGTAGATGCATGATCACTAGTCTGTTTTGGGGAGAAATAATCTCTCCTTGAATTCTCTTCCTCACTTCTGCATCTTGAATTTTTCACATACAATTCATATATTACATATTTCGCTATTTCAATACATATAACTCTACATCATATTTTACATATTTACAGAGTATGTGACCATGTGGGTATCTCATAACCAATCTATGCTCTCATTCAATGGTAACTGTTACAGTGGTTTCAAGGACTTGGAGTTTTCAAAATTATTTCATTTCTATGGCATATAGTACTATAATGAACACATTATGTACAGCAATGCAATATAGCTTTAAGGGAATCCCAAAGGTGAGAAGACTTTCTGGAGAATGATGTATACTTATTTTAATATTTTGTAATGATTCCTTACTCATTTATAGAATGTTCTGATTATTACCGATCAGTGGTACATGAGACACAGTGTACCATTTGATACTATAGAACATTCATTCAAGAAAATTGAACATGGCTATGTTTAGAATTTTTGAGATCCGATTTTATTTCCTAAATAATTTCTGGTAAAATAAACAATTCATTTTATTTTTGCTTAACATATAAAAATTATAGGAGTTCAGTTTGATATTTCAACATTTGCCTACAGAAAGAAACGATCAAATCAATAATTAACATTTCCCTCTTCCCATCATTTCTTTATGTTTGGAGGCTTTCAGTCACTCTTCTCTGGAGTTTATATAATAAGTAATAGATTATTATAAAGTGTGGTCATCCCACTGTGCTGTAGAATTCTTATTCTTTTTATCTGACTGTGTTTTGGTACTCATTTTCCAACATCCCTCCATAGTCACAGTGGAATATTATTAACTATGAAGAATGAAATCMTACCACTTACAGAAAAATGGATGGAACTGGAAGACATGTTTTCTGTGAAACAGTTCAGGTAGAATGACAAGTTCTGCATGTTCTCTCTCAGACATGAAAGCCAACCTCCCTTCGTCACTAGAGAACTTTAGGTTTATCAGACTTTGTAGGATCTGAGAGTGTATAGTGTGTGAGCTCCTTGTTACCATTTTCTTCCTCCTTTTCCTTACACTTCAATGTTCTGCCCCACCCTGTGGCCAGACTGTTGCTACT